AGCAAATACACGAGCAGGAAGCAAGCAAAAGCATAACCGAAGATGAATTCAAAATCGATGGAAAATCAGTACGTCTAACCATAAAAAGCTTTGGTTAACTGTAATCGCATCGCTTATAAGAACAAAGGGTTGTTCACAAGAAGGTTCGAAGATGCACTTACTTGGTTCCACAAGATCAAAAGTGGAGTTGAAATTACACTCCCTCCAAAATTAGCAGGTATAAAAATTTGTCTATTCGACTTGTATAAACTAATTGTTGGATCAGAAGGACACGAAATGATATCAAGAGAAGGAAAATGGAAGGAGATTGCAATGAGCTTCGGGTTTCCAGAATGCTATGATCAAGCATTCAACAAGTTATTTGAACAATACTTGCTACATCCTCAAGAACATTTTGACTTTGCAATGAAAAGGTTTGGTAAGTTACCAAGTACAAAAGAACGAGGTGTTGGTGGAGTAACCAACATGAATCATGATCAATCAGGATGTATGATTGATTATGGCAGTGAAGGCTTAGTTGGTGGAGTAACCAAAAGCAAAGATCAACCTAGATGAAGGAAGATCACAACACTGCAGGAATACTGACAACTGATCAAACCAAGGCTGCAAGACTCAAGGAGTTGAAGGAAGTCAAGAAAAAGATCTTAGCATTGTGGAATACAACTCAGATGGACGAGAGGGCACCGATGATAGCACTGAAGAAGATGATGATTTTGTCATCATTTTATGAAGCTCGAAGTATGGACAAGCATCAATAAAACGTTTCGACATTTAGGGGGAGTATTGTTTTTAAATGTAATTTAACGTTTTATTTAGTATATTATTAAGTTTGTATTATGTATAATTAAAATAATTGTGTCATGTGACACATCAGGACACTAAGGCAGTTACTTAACTGATTTGGTGGTTATTTTATTGAACCAACACAATGGTTGGTAAGTGTCATTTAGGATCTATGTATATATGTATATGTAGGCTGTCGAACAGCAATGTGTGTGTGTATGTAACTTGTATTCAAGTTTATGTAAGGATATTTCTTGTAGATTATGTGTTCTTCATATATATCTTCAGATATATAATCAATGGCTTCAAATGGATTGTTGCGAGGACAATCCAGTGGAACAAACACACAAGGGAAGTCTAACGAGAATTCAAAGTTCAAGACGAATTACCAACAGTTAAGTGTTCAAGAAAAAACCCCTTGTGATCTGTGGTATCTTGACAGTGGTTGTAGTAATCACATGACTGGAAACAAGGATTTATTCCTAAATTTAGTAGAATCAGAAAAGAAAGATGTGAGAATAGGTGATGATAAGAAATTAAGTGTATGTGGGAATGGAGAAATTTCTATCAAACTTAGAGACAAAGACAAAAGGATCTCTAATGTTTTCTATGTTCCAGGGTTAAAACATAACCTTCTTAGTGTGGGACAACTTATTCTCAGATGGTATAGATTACTGTTTAGAAATGAGTGTTGTGAAATTACAGATTCCAACAACTCATTCATTGGAAAAGTTTTCATGACAAGTAATAAGATGTTCCCTATCAAGTTCAATGATGAGAGTTTTCTTTCCCTAACCATGAATACCAAACATACATCACTGTTATGGCACAATAGGTTTGGCCATATCAACCTCAACTCACTCTCTTACATGCACAAAAAGGATCTGGTGAAGGGATTGCCCTCTGTCACCAACCTTGATCATGTGTGTGAAGGATGTGCACTTGGTAAGCACACAAGGGAATCATTTCCCCAAGACAGGGATTGGAGAGCCTCAAAACAGTTGGAACTAGTCCACACAGATATTTGTGGACCCATGAGAACTGTTCCCTTTGGAGGAAGTAGTTATTTCTTAACATTTATAGATGATTTCAGCAGAAGAGTTTGGGTTTACTTTCTTAAGGAAAAATCAGAAGCCTTTAATCACTTTGTACACTTCAAAGCCATGGTAGAAAAGCAAAGTGAATGTAAAATTAAAAACTTGAGGTCTGACCGTGGGGGGAATATATAGGAGTGGAATTTGAAGAGTATTTGAAGAATAATGGAATTCATCACCAACTCACAGCAAGCTACACACCCCAACAAAATGGGTTGGCAGAGAGGAAAAACAGAACACTTGTAGAAATGGCACGATGTATGCTCAAAAACAAAAGACTGCCTAATGTCTTTTGGGATGAAGCAATTGCTTGTGCTGCCTATCTTATTAACAGATCCCTCACCAAAAGCCTTTCAGATAAGACTCCTCAAGAGGCCTGGAATGGGTTCAAACCAAGTGTGAGCCATCTAAGAACTTTTGAATGTGTAGCTTATGCTCACATACCAAAGCAGAAGAGGGGAAAACTAGATGAAAAATCTGAAAAAACAGTATTTGTGGGATACAGTTACAACACCAAGGCTTATAAGCTGTACAATCCTTTGACCAAAAGGGTTATCACTAGCAGAGATGTGTTGTTTGATGAGAATATATCCTGGAATGGCCTAACCTGTGATGAGAATGGGATTTGCATTTTAAATGAAAACCCCATTGATCAAGACATCGCTGATGTGTCTATTGATCAGGATGACCCTGCTACTCCAGAAAGAATACCTTCTCCTAGTGCCTCCCCTGATCAAACATCATCTAATATAGAAGACACCAACTCTGGAAGTTCATCCTCATCAGACAATTCTAACGGAAAGACCAGAAGCTTGAGAGATCTTTATGACAGCACACAACCTGTTAATATTGGTGATCTTGCTGATTTTGCTCTATTTGCAGATGTTGATCCTCTACATTATGAAGAGGCCTGTTTGGACAAAAAATGGAGGGATGCAATGGACAGTGAAATGGATTCAATTATGAAGAACAACACTTGGGAACTGATTGATCTACCAAAAGGACAGAAGTCTATAGGAGTCAGATGGATATACAAGAGAAAGTTCAATGAAACAGGAGAAGTGGATAAACATAAGGCGAGACTTGTGGTAAAAGGATACAAACAACAGTTTGGAATTAACTACGAAGAGGTATTTGCCCCTGTCATTAGACTTGAAACCATACGTTTAATCCTAGCTATTGCTACTCAGTTCAACTGGTTTGTACATCAAATGGATGTCAAATTAACCACAAGGGTGGTGCCTGATTGGTTTGAGTTTGGCTCCAAAGGTCAAAAGTACTAGGAGGTCCCAGGTTCAAATCCAAGGAGGAACAAAAATCCCCTTGTGGCCATGGAGGTTCAAATACGGTGACTCCACGCTATCTGCAAAGCAGGTGGTCACCCTGGGATTAGTCGGCTCGCATAGTGGGTTGGATATTCAGGTTAATAAAAAAAATTGGAGGTCAAATCAGCTTTTCTAAATGGTTATCAAAAAGAGAATGTTTATGTGGATCAACCTAGTGGTTATAAAAGAAAAGGTGAGGAACATAAAGTGTGCCATCTTAAGAAGGCACTTTATGGCTTGAGGTACAGCAGAATTGAAGGTCATTTTCTTGATCAAGGCTTCAAGAAATGCAACTATGAGCATACATTATTTATCAAGAAGGAAGGTAACACCATATTGATAGTCTGCATATATGTGGATGATCTAGTATTAACAGGAAACTCCATAGAGATGATAAATGAATTTAAAGATTCAATGAAAGAGAATTTTGAAATGACAGATCTAGGATTGTTACATTATTTTTTGTGGATAGAAGCTACTCAAGGTACACATTGTATCACTCTCTCTCAAAAGAAGTATGCTAGAGACTTATTACAAAGGTTTAATATGGAAGATTGCAACACCCATGGAGTTTGGTCTTAAGCTTTCAAAAGGAGAGAATGGGAAGGAAGTGGATTCAACTCTCTATCGCAGCCTTGTGGGATGTCTTATGTATCTCACAGCATCCAGGCCTGATATCATGTTTCCTGTAAGCCTTGTCAGCAGATTTATGGAACATCCTAAAAAGGAACATTGGGATACTGCCAGACGTATCCTAAGTTATGTAAAAGGCACATTGGATCATGGCATTACTTACTCTTACTCTCATGACTTCAAGTTGATTGGTTATAGTGATAGTGACTATGGAGGGGATGTTGTGGATAGTAGGAGCACCACAGGGTATGTTTTCAGCCTAGGTTCGGGTGTAATTTCATGGCAGCCCAAGAAACAAAAAGTGGTGGCCCTATCCTCTAGAGAGGCTGAATATATGGCACTCTCTTCTACAGGGTGTCAAACACTTTGGCTTAGAGGTATACTAGAAGAGTTGGGGATTTCACAAAGTTCTTGTACTCAGATCTATTGTGATAGCAAGTTTGCTATAGCTCTGACCAGAAACCCTGTGTATCATGGAAAAAGCAAACATATTAGGATTAAGTTCCACTTCATTAGGGAGCTTATTCACAACAATGAGGTGGATGTTCTGTTTTGTAATACAAGGGATCAAATAGCCGATATTTTCACAAAATCTCTTCGGCGGGGAAGCTTTGAGAAATTGAAGAAAGATTTGGGTGTTCACAATGTTTAGCTTATGGGGGATGTTGAAAGGTAAGCCAAACATCTCGTTTCATCTGTTTGTTAACTGTTTTTGGTGGTTGGCCGTTAGTGATCATTAACAGCAGTTACTCTTCCCGCCAAAACTGTTTTTCAACCGTTGTGTCTGTTATTTTTAGGACACGATGGTTGGGGTCTGTATTTAACTCTTGTTTTGTGTTTCTTGTTTTACCGATGATGTATCTTGACATATTTCAGTAAATGTATATGAATTATGTTGTTTGTGTGTAAGTTAAGTATTTGGTATTCATTCCTTTGAATACTCAACATTCATGATGAATAACTATTGATAATCATGAATATCATGCATTTTTTTTCATCAATATCATGTATTTTCATTATGAGCAACTTCCATCATGAATATCTGTCCAGACATTCATCATGAACAAAGCATGAATAGTTGGTCCGGTTCTCATTTTTCAACCTAATTTGCAAGTACAATGGCAAGGGGCAAAGATTAATATCATAGATTTCAACTTAAACTTACTGCAGCAACTCTAGTAAGCCTCCCTTGATCCTCTACTCCTTCAGGTGTACCCTCAAGTCCTAGGATACGGGTACACGCACTCACAAAATGTCTTGCATAATCATAGGTATGGAAACTGCATAACAAATTAACTATCGTCACATAGAGTGAAGTTTCACTAGAAGCACGGTTGTATTGCCATTGGCAAATAAGAACACTGAGAAAATTACGAACTTACCCGACCAAATCAGCAGCAAGAACTGCACGTAGAAGCTCAGAGCGAGAAGGTAATGTCCTGTGAATTTCAGAAGATGGGAAGGGCGTATGAAGGAACCAGCCAACTTTCATGTTGCTGTTGTGATCTTTCAGACACTTCGGAAGGAACATAAGATGGTAGTCATGGCACCAAACAACGTCACCTTCTTCATAATGCTCGTTCACCACATCAGCGAACATTTGATTAGCTTTCTTGTAGGCGGCGAATTGGGACTGGAAACTTCTGGTTGTGGCCAGACGGTCTTCTTGGGGAAGACCAAGATAATGGAAAAGAGGCCATAATATGTTGTTGCAATAGCCATTATAATATTGATGGACGATTTCTTCATCAAGAAAGACTGGTATGCACCTCTGCATCGATACATTTGTCATCATAACTATGACCCATCTCACGGGAATATAAACATTTTTGTCATTTGAACTTCAAAAAGGTTTGAACTTCAGGAAACAAAGTACCTTCTCAGCCAGTGCTTTAGTTAGTGCCCTCTGTCCAGGCTCATCCGGCACATTTACACCTGCCCATCCAATCCATTTCGCCTCAACCTCCTTCACGCCTATAAATTTTAACAATTAAACCAAATTTTACATTCCAGTTATAGAAAATCTGTGCTAACGAAGGAAAAGAGAATTGAAAATAAGAAAATTCAAAGAACTTACCCAAAAGAGCACTAACAAGTCCGCCACCGCTAACCTCTAGTGACCAACTCTCTTCTCCTCTTCTAACAGCCGAGACTGGTAGTCTATTAGCAACGACCAAAAGCCGTTGTGTAAACAGCCCTCCATCAGGTTTTTCCCATCCCTCACGTGCAGCCGAGGCTCCTTCTAGATATTGTTCCACAAAGTTATCACCTTCCCTTAAGCGTGATTCAAGATCAACTGCTTCATTGCCATTTGCCTCATTAGAATAGGACGATTTGCTGTTCTTTCTTAGCTCTCTTTCTCTCAAGAGCCTCTCTATTCGACTTGTTGGAACCGATGAACTGCCATTGTAACTATTCCCAGGCATAACAGCAATCTACAACCAGACCTCCCAGACCACCCCAACAGTAGTAGACCAACCCCAACAATAGTAGACAGTGATCGGAAATCAGTAGTTCTACAGCATGATAAAACCAAATTAAGAAGTTTATCAGATCCACAAATGACAAATACCCAAAAACTTGAAATTAAGAGCAGTAGTCATATTATCAGTTGAAGTTAGCCATAGAGTAAATACAAATTCTTCCATGCTAAATAAACAACTAAAACTGAAAGGGCACAAAAGAAACAGATAACAAGGAGAATAAATCGGATCCACAAATATCTATCATAGTATAAATGGGGTCTACCACTTTACCATGTTGATTTTGGTCCAACATTCCAAAACCCACGTTTATAATCTAGCTAAACTTACATTACACACCTACAAAGAATAGAAATTAATATCATATCCAGGCGATAAAGGGTCAAATACCCATACGTACACAGAGCAAGAGATGATGTAACCAACCATCAAGATATTTGCAACCTCAAAGTACTTTCAATACCCAGAGACCGAAAGAAAGGATCAAAAGACATTGCTCGCGAACTATGTACTCTTGAGAACACTAGTATCTAAACTGGATAAAAGTGCGCATTTTCAAGAAATCGAGATTTCCTGGAGTACTCTCTCCTTTATGGATGGATGCGCCAGTGGTTAAACTACCTTAAAAGAAAAACCCAATTCAAACTCAAAGAAGATGAAATCAAACACCAACTCACCAAGATTGAGTTCAAATGTGAAGATTCTGGCAGTAAATTAGCTGTTATATCGCAGGAAAAGGTTCCTAAATGGGATCTTTAAGAGGGATAGAAACTAACAGAGGATTTGGGTTGCAAAGAAAAGGGTAAAGATGGATGATCTTGGAATCTTTATAGGGTGGGTTAGTGTCTCTGCCTCACAGCCATGCATGTGAAACACCAAGATTTATTGCGATGACGAGGTTTCCGTTAAATTATTTAATTACTCAGACTTTCTTTCAGTCTATAACTAAATAATTTCATTCATTGCTTACTTAAGTAGAAAAACACGTAACCAAAACGAAGTCTGCTGAATCGGAGGATTTCGATAAATCCTCCTACTTGAATGGAGGGTTTTCTTTAATCCTTCTTGTTACATATAAGATGTTCGAAGAATTTTGAAAGAAAAAAACTTGATGCAGGTTGCTTGTAAATTATGAAGGATATACAGGATAATAAATTCTCATATCTTAATAAATCAGATTTTGTTTTCTATATTTTATTCTTTATTTCTATACATGACACGTACATTAAATAAAATAGAATCTAAATTTATCTATAAGTATCTTATTATTAATTGATTTCCATAAATTTTGATTTGCACGTTAGATGTCTTGTAATAATACTATTTTAGAAATTATGTATTTTGAATTTTTTGGTGTTTTATTTTCTGACATTAATTTCATCAAGAGCGTAATACCAATTTGTACTTATTCATTGTCCATCATCAACTTAAAAATGGCACTAAAACATAAATCCTAAAATTTTAGTTTTTTCATACGTAGGCCACAAATTATTGGTCGACATTATAACTTGATGTTTTGTACGACAATAGATATTTCCTTGTCACGTAAGTATAAATATACACACATATTATATATATTTTGTAATTATCGAAATGGGTTCAAAAGAAGTACTAACAAAGAACAAATAAACTCATATAAATTATTCAATGATATCAACAACAGAGAACGATACATTTTGTCAAAACTAATTCCTCCGTATCCTTCTATAAATGTGTGTGTAAAGATAGGGACTGAGAGAATGTAACCTTTTGATTGTTGTTTTGAAGACTACTGCCAACAAGAACGTAGGAGCGGTGGTGGAGCCACCTTATACCCTGAAGGGCATCGGCTCCCTTCAAATCTCAAAAATATTTTTTTTATCTATAATCATCAAACCTTAATTACTTCTAAGAAACTTTATTTATTCATATTCAATTTCTTTTTTTTTCATTAAAGATACCGAAACTTCTAATATTTTAAAACCGACACGTCTTATTTTATTGAATAGACAAAAAAAATTACGACAAATTTCATGTATTTTTAAAGAAATTTTCTTTATTTATATGGTTAGCCACTTATAGACATAATTATGTTGTTTAACAACTATTTTTGTTGGACAAACATTTATCAAAAACATATATTTGAATTTTCTTAAATAGTTTTTAGGTACCCCTAGATAAATTTCCTAGCTCCGCTCTTACATAGAGTAAAGTGTAATTTGGTTGGACTATGTATAAAAATAGTGTTATACATATAAATAGAAAATATCTAAAAAAATATTTAAATGGTATATTATTTCTTATGACCTTTTTAAGTATACGATATTTGTATATGATAAAATTTCATTAAACAAACCATCAAGAAAATTGGGATCAAACGGTTTTTGGCCTAGCGGTATCGTAGTCTTTGGCCTCCTAGGAAGTTAGGGGTTCAAACTTCATCAAAGATGAGAAATGTGTGAATTTGTTTGTTGCATTTGTCGTATATAAATATTATATACTTTAAAAAAAAAATTGGAATCTATTTGGTATTTTTTTATGTTTTTTATATGTGGAGAAAGTTATGTGAAAAGAGACAGAAGAATATATAGTAGCAAGTGGGGAAATTGGACAAGCAAACATAACATTCAAAAGGTTCGTTGCCAAATTAAATGTGTCGTGTGCCACAAACAAACTACGGTAGGAATATTACAAGCAAATTTGCATCTCAAAACCCCAACCATGCTACCATCCATTTACGTCTGCAAACACATGCCCATTTTTCAAATTTATTATATTACATTTTTATCCATCAAGAACTTACATTACCAAAATACGATTATAAAAACAATTGTTTAGTATAGATATTTTGCTAACTATGAAAAATCGTATAAATAATTGTGAAAATTATTCAAATATATTGATAAACAAAATCAAATTTAAAGTTACTTGTTAAAAAGGATTAGTGCACAAAGCTTAAGGCTATATCAATTGACTTGGTATTATGTGAGACAAGGTTATTTTCGTGAGACACGATTTTTACACTTGAAACTTCACAGGAAAACACTGTAAAGGCAACCTTCACAGTGTTTTTGCTGTGAGAATTCGGCTTTTTTTACCTTCACAACATTTTGCTGTGAAGTTCAAATGTAAAAATCGTGTCTTACGTATCTCACGAAAACAATCTTGTCTCACATGAACCTAACCCTATATCAATTTATCATAAAAAGAGTTTTACGTGATCACGGGTTCTATAAAATGGGTTGGATCATAAAAATGGTTCTTATTTACAAAAATAAAGATTTTAGGCAAAAAGAATGATTGAAAAATGTAGGGAAAAGTACAATAAAAACCAAAGAACTTTCTTGTTTGGAATGATTAAGTCCTTGGATTTTTTTTTGGAACAAATAAGTCCTTGGACATTCCAAAATATGTTAAATAAGTCATTGGACAATTTTTGGAACAAATAAGTCCTTGACATTCCAAAAAATGTTAAATAACTCCTTGGACAATTTTTGGAACAAATAAGTCCTTGAACAATCCAAAACATGTTAAATAACTTTTTGAACTTTTATAAAACATGTTGGATACATTCTTATGACTTGTACAACTAGTTAAAGTGGTAAAATAGTGAAAAAAAAATTCGGAAAAAACTCCAATGAAGATTCATATTTTGAACGATAAAGTGGTAAAATAGTGAAAAAAAATCCGGAAATATATTTTGTCAGTGATTTTTTAAACTAAAAAAATAAAAAAAAATTATAAAATATATTATTTTTAATTAAAATAAATTTCACCAGTAATCTTTTTAAATCTTTTTTTAATTTAAAAAATCACATACATGATATATATATTTTTAATTAAAATAAATTTAATAATAATTATTTTTTTTGTTTGAAAAATCACTGACATAATATATTTTAATTTTAATTAAAATAAACTTTATCAAAAATCTTTTTTAAATGTAATTATTTTTTTGTAAATGTAAGTACTTTTTTGTTATATTTGTTTAATTTTATAGATCTAAATATTTTTTTGTTCAAAAAACATTTAGGGGCTTAATCGTTCAAAATATGGATGTTCATTGGGTTTTTTTCGGGATATTTTTCACTATTTTACCACTTTAACTAGTTGTACAAGTCATAAGAATGTATCCAACATGTTTTATAAAAGTTCAAGAAGTTATTTAACATTTTTTGGAATGTCCAAGGACTTATTTATTCCAAAAATTGTCCAATGACTTATTTAACATATTTTGGAATGTCCAATGACTTATTTGTTCCAAAAATTGTCCAATGACTTATTTAACATATTTTGGAATGTCCAATGACTTATTTGTTCCAAAAAATTGTCCAATGACTTATTTAACATGTTTTGGAATGTCCAAGGACTTATTTGTTCCAAAAAAAAGTCTAAAGACTTAATCATTCCAAATAAGAACGTCCATTGGTTTTTATTGTACTTTTCCCAAAAATGTATCCCAACCAACCAAGAGGGTGTTTGGTTAGAGGTATTAAACAGTAATCAATGGAAATGAAAAAAAAAAAAAAAACTGTATGGTTTTCTATAATATAATGAATTCATTCTCTCATAAATCCAAACTTTCTTTTTTGGTTAAATTGGAGGAATAAAAATTCATTTTCACTTTTATTTCTTAGCCTGAGATAAATTAGGGCCTAAAATTACAAGCATGCGTCTAAAAAAAACCAAAAACAAATAATATTTTGATTTCAAATTAATAGAGTGATACAGTTTAGTTAAGTATGTAAAATATCATATTAATAACAGCAAAAACGATAAAAAAAAATTCCTCACACAAAATCCAAAATCACCAATATCATATAATGATTATTCACGAATAAAAAGTAAATTTCAATAAATAAAAAACTTACAATTTTTTAATATTTTATGAGATAATTCGTGGGTATAAATAATACAATGTTATTTGATTGGTTTTTCATTAAATTTTGAATTTTGTAGGATAAAATTGTCTTTTTCAAATTAATTTATCTGTATAAATTTACGA